CATTTAGGAAAGTATTTATTTAAAAAAAGGAAGTGAAATTCTCACACAGTAACCATTGTTTTTTTTTTTCAAAAGGTGAGCAATCTGTATTCCACCACTCTGGTTACAAGCATTTAAAGCTTAGCAAGAAGCTGAAACACTAATTTTTAAAAAGCCATGTTTCAGTAACAGTTATATTTCTAATATTTTGGGGAATACATCTTAACTTGATAGCATATCTCAGTATATCTATGTCAAGAAACAACATTTAAGACTGGAAAGATTAATCACAGAGCTATGGAGATTACATATGTTTTGGATATTTTCCCTTAAAAACTATGGAGAAATTGAGAAGTTATCAAGTGGAGCTCTGAAGTTGCATTACTTTTGCTGGTATGAAACTCTTGCTTCATGTGAGATTTCACTCAAAATTCTTGTTAATTTTTTCCTGGAATAGTGGTAGAGGTGTTGATTTTCCCATGGGAGTTTAGCAATTTTTCTGAAAGAGAAAGAAATTTAAAATATTGTGCAACATTTTTTTAATTAAAGCAAAAAAGCCATATCTAGATTTTGTTTCAGAATGGCATTACCATTCATGTTTGGATGGTTCTACTAATTTCATCTTCAGTGAAATTTCTTCTATATGAGACTACGTTGCCATAGGTATGTTTTAACATTTGTTTGTGGAATATATCTGAATCAGGCTCACACATAAGCAAAAATACCATACAGTCGTGCCCTGCTTAACGATTCAGCACATTACGATGAATCCGCTTCACGACAATGTTTTTGCGATCACAATTGCAATCGTAAAACAATGGTCTAAATGGGTTTTTTCGCTTTGCGAAGATCAGTTCCCAGCTGCAGGAACCGATTCTTCACATTATGATGATCAAAACAGCTGATCGTCGGGTTTTCAAAATGGCCACTGGGTGCTCAAAATGGCTCCCTGCTGTGCTTAGGGACGGATTCCTCGCTATATAGGCATCGAAAATGGCCACCTATATGGAGGATCTTCACTGGACGGTGAGTTTTTAGCCCATTGGAATGCATTAACAGGGTTTTAATGCGTTCAATGGGTTTTTTAATTTCGTTTGACGACGGTTTTGCTCTACAGCGATTTTGCTGGAACGAACTAATGTCATTAAGCAAGGCACCACTGTAGTTCCTTTCACATGCTTGTTTGTTCTTCCCTGACGTTTAAACACAGTTTCATTGCTTAGCTTACCATGGGCCAGCCGGAAAAAGAGTGTGCAGAAGAACAGTCTTGTAAATATTTAGCAACTTCAGCAATGTCATCTAAATTTATTTTATGGAGAGTGGGCTCATCCCTCTTGGTTGATAAGGAACATGATCAATAGCATTGCTTAGAAAAGTTTATTTTCATAGCACAGTTCTCAAAACCTGTGTAGACCTATGCATTTCTGTGAACTTGTCCTTTTCACAACTTTATATTCAGTCCTGGTGTTTGTTTCTTTAAAGGAAAAAAAATCTACTCACGTTTTTAGCATTTTTCTTTTTTAACAAATGTGACTTTTTCAAACTTCACATACTATTTGTGTATGTTCAGTATCAACTATGACTTTGTATGCATTTTTTTTGTAAAACAAAGGCACTTTTCTACATCCACTTGTCAAGTATATACATTCTATCAAATTAATTTAACACGCTGTATATGGTGCTTCCTTTGAAAAGTACTTGAAAACTTCAGTTGGCCCAGGTAACTGTGGCCAAACTATCAACCTACAAGTCACAAGGTACTTGTGACTCCCTTACTACAAGTCTCCATCCAGTAACTGTATTAGTATGTTTTAGCAACAATGTCTACGTCTTTGGACACCACTTCTGCATGGGATACAACCAACTACGATACCTGAAGATGTAGGTTAATATACAGTGGTGCCTCGCTAGACAATGATAATCCGTTCCACTGAAATCGCTGTTTAGCAAAATCATTGTCTAGCGAAAAGCATTTCCCTATTTGAATGCATTGAAACCTGTTTAATGCGTTCCAATGGGGAAGAATCGTTGTTGTCTAGCGAAGATCAGACATAGGAAAGCTGCTTTGCGAACCACTGATCAGCTGTTTAAATAGCTGTCTTGCGAAGCTTAGGTCCCGAAATCCCCCGTTTTGCGAGTGCGGAAGGAGCTGTCAAAATCGTTGTCTAGCAAAAATCCGTTTGCGAAGCAGCGCCCAAACATTGTCCAGCGAAATTCCCCCATAGGAATCACTGTTTTGCAAATCACAATAGTGATCGCAAAAAGTCAATGTCTAGCGAAAAAACTGTCATGTGGGGTAACTGTCTAGCGAGGCACCATTGTACACATATTCTGAAGCAAACATGAATTTATTAGTTTTAAATTTATTAGTTTTCCTTTGGTTTTGCTCATGCAGTTTCATAGGTCATTCCTTTGCTCCCTGAAACCATTACCAATGCTTGTTAAGATATGTAAAGCACTATAAGACTTGGGACATGGAATATCAGAGCCATCTTAAACCATTAAAGACTATACTCTCCCATACAAGGTGTCAAGAAACTGGAAAATAGGGAGATGATGGTTTCAGTTGCACTCCACGCCTTTGACTGCTTTTGGGGCTTTTGAAACTATCTTTGAAACTGTTTGGAATTTTATTCTTTTTAACTTCTTTTTCCAACATCTTCCATAAAATAATGAAATAATTTTTTTACAGCTGTTTGGTTATTTTGGGAAAAGAGGAGTTGTTGGTACCAAAAAGGGCCCTGCCTCAGTCACTGATCTTTACATTTTGCAGGTATTTTGGTATTCCTACAAGGCAGGATTGGTATACAGGCTATATGATTAAACCTGGTAACCCCCTGGCAGACTGAGTAGTCAGTGTGACTCAAAGGTTTGGGAGGGATACCAAGGAGAAAGATATTATCCACCCATCATCAAACCTGGTTCTCTTGGAATTCACTCACACCAGGAAAGTTTGGGCAGTGTGGCTGAGTGGTTTGTGTGGGTCTCTCAGACTTGACAATAATCTTGACACAAGCCTACCTCTGATGGAAACACAAGAATTCCTAAGAGAGTTTAAACTGACCCCTTATATGTTAATCTGATGCTTTTTTCAGAGAAGCATTTAAGACAGAATATAGTTTAAAGAGGACTTTTGCTTCTTCTAATTGTTTTTTTAATAAATCCTTATGGTTTTATTGCCTTCGGTCTTATTGTAATTGTAATACTAAGTCAACTTTAATGCCATGTTGTGGAAGAAAGGTGGGATATAAAGTTAATAATGAAATAAATACAACTATTTTATTTATTATATTATTTTGAGTCACCCATCATTCTCATGGGTATCAGACAGAGCAGGTGTGGAAATATAAATAAAACAACAGCAACATCTAATATTGCTTTTGCCTAATTTGTATTCTCATGCTGCCATTGGACCCGGAAAGTGACACATGTTGAGGAAATGAGAGCGGAGTGAGGGAAATCTGAGCAACCACAAACTGCCTCAGAACAGGAAATGCTGCTTCTGAATGGGATATTGTGGAAAGAACTGGGTTTGGATAGGTGCTGATAACTGACCACAGTAAAAGTGTACTTATTTAAGGTGGCCTTGGTAATGAAGCTGCCTCAGAACAGGAAATGCTGTTCAGACTTGCCAGGGGAGGGTGCTGAAGTCTGTTTAACCAGCCTTTGGACCATCTGCTTTGAGAATTGGTCCTCATCTGGAATAACGGTGGCACTCTGCGCTCTCTGTGACAATTCTACCATTCAGGTGGATATCATCTGGCTCCTCAGAGAAGAGCATGGTGAAACATTCTGTTCCACAGCAGCTTCTTCTTTAATTAATTTACTTCCTTAATTAAGGAGTATGTAACTCGATACTGAGGAATCAAGATATAATAAGACATATAAAATACAGAAGACTAGAAATCTTTGGCCATGTAATGAGAAATGAACAGTACGGATTGCTATATGTGATCATTCAAGGTAAAAGAAAAGAGGAAAGAAGCAGAGAAAAGAGGAGAATATTTTGGCTGAAGACTAGTTTGGATGAAACACAATATTATTGTTTAGAATGACTGCAGTCAAGATAACCATGATGATCTCCAGCCTCTGGTAGGAGAAGAAAAAGTATATATATTGTTTCATACCACTGGTGAGTTAAACAATTGAATATCCAGTTCATTGGAGACCCAATTATCACAGTAGATATTTTGGAATTGTAACATTAGCCATTCTCAGTCTGGAGTCCCCTTTTAATTTAAGATTTAGCCGTGGTTTGGCCAAGACCCTATTCTTTCTTTACTTTGAAATGTCTGACTTTTTCATGAATGCATATTTGCTTAAAAACAGAGCTAGCAGCAAAGTTGTGTTTTCTACACTTATTCCTGGATAGCTGTCAATAAACATGCCAATGGTTCCCTTTCACAACACAACAAAACAGAGCCACTGTTCCCAAGCTTCTGCAGAGCAAGATGAGAAGGCAACAGAGGTACAGCTTATTAAAGAGGATGAGGATAAAATAGGAGCCTATTGAAAGACAGTGTGGGAAGTGAGGGTAAAGTCTGGAAAAACACCAGTGAGAGTCACTGAGCCATGTGAAGACTTTTATTTTTTTTTCCTGACTCTTGACACAACTTTGTAGTCAGGTGGGCACCTGAAGTTCATCGCTGAAACAAACTATGGTACTGGACTTATATGTAACAACAAGCCATAGTTAACACAAATGGCAGCTCACAATGTGAAATCAAACTATAAATAGATCACAGTTGTTGCACTATTCAAACAAATAAAATATTAGCTAAACAAACCATAATTTTGTAGTGTATTTAAATGTGATCAAGGAACTGCTAATAGAAAAGAGTTCTGCACAAAAACCATGTTTTAGTTTGTTGAAATTGTAATTGTTCATTTTTATAGCTTCATAATAAATGTGATCTGTGTCACTAGTCTTTCAAAACCACAGCACCTTCAGGTCTGCTAGGAGCTTAAGGACTGAGCTTCTCTTTGCTAGAGGAGAGAGAAACCTGGATGTAGCTACTTACCATGGTGACTGATATGCTCCTGCAAATTTCTGTTTTCTTTTCCCAACATCTCCCCGGGGTCTGCAATTTCTGGCAGGCTGTAAACCAGCAGGGGCAATATCAGTCTCTAATTCATAATCACTGGGTCCACATCAGAACGGGCTGGATTATATGCTGATGGGCCTGCCTTTATTTAATTAGGGGATGTGAACATTTAAAGCACAGTAGTATAATTGTGTGAAATGTAGTCTCATTGTATTAAAATTGTTTTCTATGTGCACCTTTCATTTTGCAGTAACCATAGTACACTGTGGATCCTTATTATTAGCATTAATAACATTTGGCATGGTGTATATTTTTCAACAAAAATTGTTTTTGCAAGAGGGGGAACAAGGATTGCACCTTATAGAATTGAATCAGCCTGTCTTCTTCTGAATTCTTACCTTTTCCCTGTGCATACACCCTATTATTAATGTACATTATTACTTCAAGTATGTCAGAAAAGGAGACAAACAGTCAGAAGCAGAAATTTCTCCCTAATTCACTCTGCCTAGCCAGCAAAATGTAAGGCAAAATTATTCAGGGAAAAAAATGCAATTTTCTGTCATCTCTGCCATACACTGATAACAAAGCTACAGGCTAATATGTTTTGATATTTTTGTCACTCGTTTATCATGTGACCTTTCATGCTATCATTAATACAGCTGAGGGACAGAACAGACACACTGAAATAAGGGTGTGGAGAAGTCAGATTGCTTCTCTAACAACTAACGGTCAGTCACAGCAATTTATGCTTTTCTTCACTGTAGCTCTGACTGAAGAAGAGAAATTGTTATTAAAATTTGATATTACTGTCTAGGCTCTGCCACCTAGAATTTGCAACTTTTAACTCTGATGAGAATGTTGGGAGGAGGGTTTAATAAATTTCCCTTTGAATTATGATATTAATACAATACGACATGCTTGCTTAGATATTCAAAGAGTGGAAGGGGGAAAATCGGATTCAGATTGGAACATGGAGCATTTTCTCCACCCTTCCAACATTTTGACTAAACAAGTGAACTGAGTAACAACATATCTGAATAACATGCATACAAATGGCTGCTAAGAGAACTAAGCAAGTTCTCTTTTAGTTCACAAGGTTTTAAAGATAAATCCCTAATGAAGTTTTTTGTATTAATCAGCATGGTGTTCAGGACACACTAGGTGAATGCAGTATATCCTTTTGATTTTCTTTCATGATGCAAGATTCATACATTTGCATTTATGCTGACAACACTTCAAAAAATTACCTAGCTTTTTATATTGGATATAGACAATTCTCTTCTTAAAATTTCACTATACACCTAATTTACATGTGATATTACTGTATTAAAATTATTTTGCACAATACACAAAAGGTGAAAATGAATATTATGGTTTTCTAATGAATGTAAAGAGTACTGCCTTTTTGTGAAAGAAAGAAAGAAAGAAAGAAAGAAAGAAAGAAAGAAAGAAAGAAAGAAAGAAAGAAAGAAAGATCTCTCACTAACCTAATGCCTTCTCACCATTTCAAAATATTGCACTTTTAAAATATTTGTATTAAGAAATGATTGCAGATTTCAAGACAGTTTCTAAATGTAATGTATAGAGAGGGTTTGGAGGTGTATACAGGTGAATAGTCATACATGAAATAATTATCAACCCCTCCACTATCACTACCACCCAGCTTTTTTAGAACATTTGAATCAGGTATAATATGAAATTACAAATATTCACTAAAACAATGCTTTAAAACTTGACGTAAAACAAAATGCTGCCTTGAATTGTTTCTCCTCAGAGGCAGTGTCTAATCAAATACATTATATAATTAATTTTACATACAAAAGAAAACAACAGTAATTTCCATATTTCAGCATGTTTTAAATAGTTCCCAAAGAGAGAAGATTAGCTTAAATGGACTGAGTACTGAATCATGCTGCTGTACACAGAAAATGGAATAACATTTCTCATTTCCAAAGTAAAATTTTTAACACCTGAAATGTGGAAGCAAAGGTTTATGGATACTAGTAATTCAATGCACATATATATTTGCTAGTTTTTGTGAGCAGGAGAAAATCCTGAAATATTTCATCATATGGATCAAATGTTTGATTTTTTTTAATCAGAAGGAATAAAAAATCTACCATTACTTATGTGTGCATCCTATGATGTCATAGCTATCTGTAACTATGAACAAAGCATGAGCATTTGTATTTAACATTTTAGATTTTCACAGTATTATTCCTACTTAAATAGACAGGTACACAATGGTGATGTTTATACATTTAAAACATTTTATTCCTCTTGTAGGTTGTAAATATTCAAAATCTGAAGAGGGGGGAATCTCTTGACAATTAAGGATGTTTGGCAGTAAGCAATTAATGTGTAATATTAAATATTTTGAAACCAAATTTGACATAATGCTTTGTTTCTGATATATAGTTCACAGGTACTATTAGGCTAAAATTGAGTCTGAAAGCGTGCTAGTTAAAAAAACATCAGAATGCCTAAGTATTACTGGGAGTGGAGGGAAAAGAAATATTATGTTAGTTAAAAATGGGGTTTGCAAATAAATGACTACTAACTATGCAATAAGATGGTTTGGAGCTTTTAAAGTGTTTATTAAACAAGAAGATTTTTTGGTCCTTATAAAAGCGACTGATGCACTAAGAGAAATTAATATTTTATCAACAGAAAGGGTATCTCGATATTGTGAGTGTATGACTATTTCTTAATGCTACACCATGAACAAAGAGTTTTCTTCCCTTACCATTCTAGACCTAATAGCAACCCTGACCTGGAGATATATCCTCTACATAAAGAACACAGCAGTAAATACAAACGTGTCTTCATACTTGCTGAGCCTTCTACCACTGCAGAGCATAGATTATTCATCCATCCTGGCGTTATAGAGAATTCCATTTTCATTTTTATTGTGGATGCATATGGGGAAAAAGAAAGGTGAGGGGTGACAAGGAGGGAGAGTGTTGTAATATTAACTGCTATAGCTTCAGCCGTTATATTATCTAACTAATTTCACATAAATCTAATGAACTTTAAGCTTACGGTTTTGAAGGGAAAGATTTAATATTTTAATTCTGGAACACAGGGATGCAATAACAGATTTCTGATTTCTTTTCCTTCTTCTTTTCTTCATCCTCTTCTTTCTTTTTTTGCACAATAAGGTTTTTTTCAGTGATTCTAGGACACAAACTTTTATCACTTAAGAAGATTCTTTTCCTTTATAATAAAAACAGAAGATGCTAGTAACAGGTATAATTAAAGCCTATCTTTTATATTTATTTGTATTTTGAACCCGAAGTGGATCCTATTGCACTATGAAACAAGTGGAATAATAAAAATAGTCTTAGGAGCACTTAAAACTCAGAAGTACATAAAAAAGTGATCCTGTGGCTTTTTCTAACCTGGTGGCACGTGCACATTTTTGCTTAACAGGATGTGATGCAATCATTAATGCTAGTGTTAATTTGATTGCAGAACACCCAACCACAATTGTCCTTTCCCATTCTAGGCACATACATTTTTGCCAACCTAGTTTAAAGCAACAATAACAACACCCTGGCATTCATGTTTGCATGTAAATAAAGCAAGAACCACAAACAAAGCCAGCAATCTTACATACTTGCCTTCAGTGGTAAAGGATGGAACGCCTGCCTGCTACCAATCAGCAAATGGTTGCTATGGTTACAAGGTCAGGAAATATGCCTTTTCCCCTGTTGTCCAAGGCTTGCACATGTCACTTCTGAAACTATGAATTTTATATACAGGTCAGGAGATGCATACCAAAGAAATAAATAGTGTATTGGACCATAATGACAGCTAACGTTCAAATGTCCTTGAATTTTTTTTTCTTAATTCTATCCAAACACATTTTATCATTTTGAATGGGTTGTTTTTTTGTTTTGTTTTTTTGTATAAAACTGTAACAATTCCTTCCTGTAATGAAATTTGGCAATGCAGGTATGAGCCATGCCTATTATTGAAGCTGCATTAATGTTTTGCTTCAAAAGGAATCTTGCATTGCTTAGGTTAATTTATTGATCTGCCTAGGTTTTTTAGATTCAAAATTACAGCATTGAACTATTTTACAAAGTACCAGTTGGTGCAATCTAAAACCTCCAATGATCACTGCTTAAAAACACCAAACAAATGTGTCAATGCTGCATTTCTGTAGAGGCTACGTAGTAGTTAAGCTGTTAATTAAATGCACACAGTCCTGTGCAAAACTATGACTACTTATTTGCACATATACATAAGAATACATATGATATGGGATATACCAAAATAATCTCTGTAAAATTATCATGTTTGTAAAATGGGTATTCATAAAATGATTGAATCATGAATTCAACCCTTTATGGTTTGAGTATCAATGAAGACTTTGCTAAGAAAATTAGTGAAAGGCCTCTCCAGGGACTTTACATTTTGCAACAGATAAGGTAGGTCACGTAAAGGTGGTTATTTCAGGGTCTATGTTATTTCTGACTTGTATTCTTTTGCATTAACTTTTTGCTGCTCTTCCTTTTCAAAATAACCTGTTTGAAATTGAGAATCTTTATGCATCAGATGTGACAAGAACCATTGTTTGCTGTCAAATTTGCAGTTCTGAAATCTCCTGGCTTAGGACCTTTATAGATGTGAAATGATATATAAAATATCTAACAATATTTGATGCTTGAACCACACTGTTAATTAAAAGCTTGCTACAGTCAGATTCATCCTTTTATTTGGAGCACCTCATTTTTTTTTCAGCTGAAAAATGAAAGGACAATGAAATGATGTGTACCATTTACTAACCCAACCTCCGGTGCAGATACATCAGTCTGTTCTAACACCATTATTCTGTGTGAATATACTGTGTGTAAATTTTACATATGACTTTTTCTAATGAAAAGTAAAAAGAAAACCCTAGTATTAAAATGCAAATCCTTGATACATTGTATGCCATTGTTTCTTCATGATTCGTGTTTCTTTTTTGCTTTGCAAGTTTGCTATAGTTCTTAAAACTCATCCATTGATGAGAAAAAGCCTAATATCTATTGAAACATCAATATACCGCAAGGAAAAGAGACATGTTGTTCCCTTTTTCCTTTTGGCTTGCATCTTTTGTTCAAATGAATATTCCCCTCCCTGCTCTCTCTCACTCTCATTTGGCCAGGAAAGATTAGTCTGTACCTTGATAACAATCCTTCCAATTTTTCCTCTCTTTTTTTCCTTGCAGAAAGCAGCATTCAAATGAGAAACTAAGCACAATTCTTTTCAACAGGCAATTTACCCCATGACGAGATATGCTTTCACTTATTTTTCTCTGACATTCTCACATCTAGCAGCACAGCAGGTATCCAAAGGTTAGGCTTCAAATAAAGGATAACTACCTCCTTATATTAATAGATGCCATTGTATGAATGTCATATTATTGCAGCATTTAGTTCCTTTAATTGTTTTTCCCCCTAAATTATATATGATAAGGTAGGCCCAGACAAGTGAGAATGGGGGGAGGATCTACCCTCCCAAACTACTCTTTTATTGTGATGTTGATTGCTCTGTTTGCATGTAACCTTTAAAAAAACAGAAACAGATTTTCTTGCATGTAATGCCACTTGAAATTAATAAATTGTTTTGAGAAATTAGGTTTGCATTTGAACTACAGGATACTTCAATTAACCATTGCTACTTGTGTTTCACATCATTTCAAATATCTGTACCTGTTATCTCATACTGGAAATGATGGGTGGGGAGAACCAACCACTGAATATTTTAAATGTCTCATATCAGATGGTCAAAGGCAAATATTCCCTTACTGAAAACGGTTGGCTATTTTTTTTTCTTAAGCAGTCAGACGAACCGCATCGTTCAGTTCTCATGATTATTCTATGAGACCATATCGGGCTGTGTTCGTATACGTGTGTGTGTGTTCTCTTTCTTGGCTTTTTTAATGTAGCCAGATGAGTCCAGGTTACATGTCTTGTGGCCTGTGTGCAACCTTGTCCATTAGCCAGCCCCTGCACCTTTGATGTGAACCATCAGCCCTCTGGTTTCTGTGGTTCATTCATTTTTGTGGTTCTGTAACGATCTCTGCCCTAGTCCTGAATCCTGCCTTTCTTGTAGACACAGCTGACAACAGGCAGCCTTGTCTTTCATTTCCTTGATGTACTTTGTACTGCAGTATGGCTTTTGTTAGTATTGATGCAAACATTACCATAAACCACCACCTAGGGACTGAAAACAATTGACTAACTGTTTTCAAATCCAATACACTTAAGTTGATCAGATACAAAGTTTAAGTACAGTTAGCTTGGAAGAAGAAGGGGGGAAAGCGCAAATGCTGTGTGGTCTCAGCTTCTTGCGTTCTGAAAAAATAAAGAGCAGTGGAATGTAGCTGTGAAGACAAATGGCAACACAATCTATTCAAGAGGTGAATATTGGAGCCAGAAACGTGTCCCTTTCTGTGGCTGATCGGACCAGTTTTGCTTCTTTTTGGCCTCGTTTAAATGATTTCCTTTTTATCTCATTTTAAAGGCTCATTCCAGGCAAGAAAAGAAATGGGATTATAGAGAGAAAGCAACCATGTTATGAGCCAGTTCAGATTCTGATGAGATGTGCATTTTAAATTGGCTGATGTTAAATTTCTCCGTTAAATTCTAAACAGCAGGCTAACAATCATGGCACTCATTATAATGGAATATTTCATATCATCTGGAAGAATTTCAAAGTTGACTGTGTTGTAAATGCAAAACTATGTCTGACCCTTTTTGAGGAAGGAGCAGTAGCAGGGTCATTTGCTTTTTGAGCCTTGTTAGATCCTGGATTCAAGCCTTTGTAACAGAGGCTATTCAGATTCACTTTCCGTACGATGCTTCAAAGATGTCAGTTGCATCTTTGAAGTCTCTTCCTAAATTAAGCAGTGGAGAACTTGAGAACGTGAAACAACAATAAAAAAAATCACAAAATGAATCAGGTTCAAGGTTCTATGCATATTTCAAATCAGATAAAGCCCTGCTTCTTATTAAGCATACAAGAATACTGTGACTATAACTTCCCAATTTGCTCCTTTTCTTGCAGGGCTAATGTGTTGCAATGAAACCTAATATTTGGGAATGGGAAAATAAAAGCTTTAAACTGTGTTTGGACTCATTATAAATGAAGTGCTCTGGAAATGGATTAGGAAGTTTCTGCTTTTTTGAAATGAACAGAACACACCTACATTCTTACATGATTTTATCAAAGTTACCTTAAATTAGCAATTATTACCAGCAAGCACTTTATCTTATTGATAAACACAAGAATGGATGTAGATTTAGGATGCAGTCATTGGGATCAATACATTTAAATAGCCTACGTGTTCACAGGATTGCATTTCCAGATAGTTGTCTTTATCTTGTCATGTTAAAAGAAGCCCAATAATCCTGAACTTTGGTTGTTTGTCAGCACCTGCCAAGATTGCAATGCTAAACCAATTAACCCTGTTGCTAACATACCCACTGATGCCTCTGACAACCAGTTTGTGTTATAATTTTTCATAATAATCTAATCTCTAATGTTTGAAAGTAACAAGCTTACTTTTAATAAAACTTTAGCTCTCTTGCTCTCAATGGCAAATGGTTGCCTTTAGATACAACAACAAGTTACTTCTAAATACTTTTGCTTAAGACTGGGGGCTCATAAAGCAATTTTTTAAACAGGTAAACATGATGAAAAGCATGCTTTATTATCTGTGTGTGCGAGTGTGTGTGTGAGAGAGAGAGATTTATGTCAATAAAGGACCTGCTTAATCTAAGTTAAAGAGCTGTTTTTAAGCAGTTTCCCTTTCCTCTTTCTTTTTACTTCTTTCAATAAAAATAATCAGGGCATTGTATAATAGGGTACACAATACACCTTTCACAATAGTAATAATATTTGAAATAAAGTATTATTAGATATACTTCCCCTATGGTTATAATTATAGTTATATGCATACAGTTATAGAGTTTATATGACTTTTTACTAGAATGCTCATGCAATTCATTGTCAAATTTAGCGCAAAGATTGTTGTACTGTAAAATATCCATTGATGTCATTTATAAGAACTTTA